TTTAACTGGTTTCGGGCACATTCCAACCAATGGATAGCCTGAGAGCAAAATTGACCAAACAAACACTCGACCTGAAAGAATAATTAACAATGTCACCCTGCTGGATTTTCATCCGGTATTATGATGATATGCTTGGACAAATGCTTTAATTAGCTACCTTCCTCCCGTCTGGACTTTTTTTCCCCCTGCGATTAACAACAGTTGGTGCATATTGGGCCTTGAATGAAGATCCTGTGTCAGAACCTGTTCACATGAATGGAAAGTAGGCTGGGACTAGCTCTCATTTCCATAGCGAGGCGGAAATAAATCCTCCCAGTGAGAGACAGATATATATTCATGTGTACAATTGGTGGTGCAGAAGCTTTCTGCAGAATGTGCGGAGGGTTGTAAGTGTGCTTTTGGATTTCCTGTATAGCGGGGGAAATATATGGATAACTATACCTCATTATGACCTCAATGCTGAAAACAAGATTTCGTCTTGATTTTGACATTGTGGCTGTGGTTGCCTGGCTCAGCTCGTTATGAATAATGGCCTCGAGATGTTGGCCTTAGCTGTTAGGGTGGCTGAAAATATTGTCAGGGATGATGGATTAACGAGCTTCAACGAGCACACTCCTTTTTTCACCCTCCCCTCACACCATAATCCTCTCTCGTAAAGCCTTAAAGGCAAGTCATTTTTTACTGCTCTACGCATCCATACCGAGCAAAATTACCTGTCCTGGTAGTAAAGGGTCCTACAATAAGTGATCAAATATCCGACAGCTGGGTTCAATTCGCCCTCGCATGTCGGGAATAGGTTCCACCATCCTGCAGGGGAGACTGGGATATGAGACGGAGAGAAATCTTAAAACGTATGGCAGAGTTGATCAGTGGTTGACCAAAAGATGTAGTCGATGTTACGTACCTATAATTTCGGACATCGGTTCCCTTTCGAAGGCAATAGGATAAAGGGCAAGGCGGCCCGGCTGTTGGCGATTTTCATCTTTCGGAGCCTAAAATGTTGTGATAAGTTGTGATGCTATCTCAAGTATCATTCTCTTCTATGTAGCTCTGTTCGTGGGGTGATACTTTTGAACAGTGAGATTTTCTTCCACATTTTCGACAAGGCCATACTGAACTATATATAACAGACATGGCACAGCAGCATGGCTTGCCCTTTAGAACCATCCGGGTTTGGCGTCTGATGGGAGGCCAGGATTGCCCCTAAAGGAGTTAAAACTCGTTAACCCCAGTCGATATTGAGGTAGAAAACAACCTGTGATGGGGAATCATTATTCATCTAGATTTGAGAAAAAAATCAAAATAAATATAATAAAGAAGAAGATCTCGGCCAAACCAGCTCTTTTGTTGAGAGATTGACTATCGTCAAAACGCAATGATCGAATGATACATCCGTGGATCAAGCAGGGAAGGTATCTATCTTTTTTTTTTTTTTCAACCGTCCAGAGTTGACGTTCCATTTGATTGACCAAGCTTTATTCTTCTGTGGGGAATTCTGGTATCTCTCCCTCCCATACAGCTTTCAGAATGATGGGATATGGGAAACTCTCGCTGTCCCCTTTCAAGTTCTCTTATCAAAATATCAAGTCATCCACGAATGCCTCTTCGTGAGGCATGGTTGCCCATTGAAGACGCTAACCGATGTTGCTCCCGATAATGGGGAATTCCCGAACCCCGCCTCTCCCCTGCAAACCGTAATAGTTCCCCTATGACCGTGTTTTTGAAATCAAGTCTGGGTAGTTCATAGAGAGATGGCCGCAGACCGGGTTATGCTCACTTAGCGGTTCGTGCAATTTTCCTCTTACATGACCCAGTTGCACTTCCCATGGAGATAGGGTGCTTCGTACCCGCGCAGAAACTATATGAGTTGTTCCAGAGAAGCCTTTGGAAGAAGGAAGAGAAGAAAAGTGATATCGTCTGTGAAACCATTTCACTAATTGCAACCAGCAATGACCACGTATCATGCAGGATCGGACTATGCATCTCTCCAATCTGTCAGAAGGATATTAGGCGAGTTGGTAGTAAAACCTATTTTCTTGGATTTTCCCGTCAGGACTTTGCCGGCAATACAAGACCATCACAATCTGTCTTATATCACCCATTCTATAGATACGCAGGAACAGGCATATCAGGCAAAAAACCATTTTAAGCGACACAACGGTTCGAGCCGGTGGGAGACTACCCTTTGGCAGTAGGATGGCTCGTTATCTCCATCTGGGGGGATTACCCTTGATAGGACAAGCTTCCGAATGACCTTCAACCGCATTGCCCAGTATCTAATTGAGTGTTTCCTTTCTTGTTCAAGCGACGTTCTGCACTCGCGTTTTCCAACGGAGACGTCCTGCCCCGACACTGAGTGCGTGCAGAGCCAACCATACAAAATCTGTAAGGAGAGCGACCGTCGTGACGATGATAATTCGTGCAGGACAAGTTATCTCCCATATTTGGAGTTTTAGCCCAGAAAGGTGAATGCTTATCGATTTCTGTCAGAACAATTGTTACTGTAGGTCTGGCATTATTAAGGCCCCGACAAGAAATCCCAGTGCGCTCGTTGTTGACTACCACCCAACTCCCTTGGCAGCTGTTGGTCGTCTCGCATGTTGCTTAGATGCCGCCTATTGGTCTTTATTCCATTTCTAGCATGCATTGGTGTGTATTTATCATACGTCGCATTGGTTAATAATGGGTCAGATATGAAATGGTATGGCTGTTTCAGTGATTACTTCCAAGACAGTTAACTACTCGAATTCGGATTTGAAGAGTTGTTGAAGATCTTGCTCTAGACATAACTAATATTCAAAAAAGAAAAGTGTATTTTATTCCTTTTTTTTATTTGTTTTTATTTATTTATATTTTTATTTTTGAATGTGCACTGTCTGCCACTGGTGAATGAAGAGGATAATAATGAATGCTCGAAACATCTGCAGTGTTCGTTGAAGTTGAACTAACTGGTTTTGAGTCAAGATCTCAAACCCTCCTCAGGTGCAGCAGGGACATATCTGAGATAGATTATCAATCGCAGTTCCGGGATCATCTCTCGTGGATGCAGCGCACTTTGTGTCCCATATTGATAGGATACTTGCTGAAAAAGCATGTCTGTACATGTCCACGCTATCCAATTCCCTCCAATTCCGCTTAGCAGGGATCAATTGCACCTCAATGTTAGCCTGCGTATGGATGAGTTTGCCCTCATCTCCAACTTTTAAGTGGAGAGTTCCTGTGGCTGACCTCATGTTCATTGTAGATGAGTTGAGAGATTCTTACATCCAATCGCACTGCCTCGGGTCTTTCCCCCACGTTTCTTCCAACCTCCGGTGTGGACTTGTTGAGGCTTGAACATCATCAATCTCAAATTATTTAGCACCGAGGTTAGTCTTCTGAGGCGTGTTTCAACAACGGGTTTAGTCCCACCAAGGATCTCTCCTTGACCTTAAATCTTGCTGTCTGTAACACAATTGCATATAATTTCACACCCCATTTTAAGTCTTCTTCCTTGATTGAGAGCCCGAATTGAAGGCGTACCAACTCCGGTCTCCAAGTTTCTCCCTCGCGCATTACGTTCGGATGATACACCGCATCGCTACGACCTAGGTATCGTGTCGAATACCGAACTTTAGTTACCTATGGTAAAACCAACAAAAAAGGCACAATTCCACGCTGGGCCAAGTTGTGATACAAGGCACTGTGACCAGAATCCATTGCCCAGAACTGCGAGGTCGCTTGTAACGTCAACATCGTATCGTGCGATTAGAGATTACCGGCTGCTCTGGGATTTGGCGGTCTTCACTGCCCACCCACGATACTACTACTATTTTTGCTTTTTGACCCCCGGTCATGAAGAAATTAACTCCCGCCGGCTTAAACCTAAATTTAGCAAGGAGTCGCATCAATAATCACAAATGGAGGCACTATTGAAGCCAGGGCTCAAGCAATGTCAATTTCAGCCTCCAGAAATCCTTCAGTTTTGATATATGTAACGTCTCTTTTTGGCAAATCCCGATTGACGCCATTGCTCCGCGCCGAAGCGATTAAGTTTTAGGACGTTCGTGTGGATACGTGGTGTGATCAAGGAAATAAATTAAGTGTGGGGAACAGAAGGTTTAGGACGAACACTGATGAGCAACCGGAGCGCGCACGATGGGATTAGCTTGCTATTTGTCGATCACGGCTTTGTTTGATGCTTCGGTCTAGTCTTGTCTAGCTTGGGATTTTGACGCGACGTGCACCGTAATTTCTGTCATTCAAGGAGATGGCGGTGACTTCTTAGGCGTTACAGTCTTGAGGAATTAAGATGATCAGGGAGCATGGAACGGAGCCACCTGCACGCCTAACTTCATGACCAAGTGGCATGGGTATGAGCATCAGTCCTTGCTATTTCTCATCCAACCGCGAAGAAGCCCTGGCAATGACGAGCGCCATGGGAGGGATGGTCCCGAGGAGTGAAACAGAGCCCTGCGCATTGGATTTACACATCATCAATCCCAGATGGCAATCGACTTGGAAGTTGCGCAGCCGCGAAGTCGAGCATGTTTGTTTTCCCCCTGCTATCCCAGCAAAGTCCTTCTAGCCTGGACCAACTGCAATTCCCGCCCTCGACTCTGCGGCCACCATCTTGTGGTTCCAGAAGTCGCCTTTCTCTATCTTTGACTACGAATGTGTACACAACCCCCTCAAGAGACCCGTTAAAGTTTCTCAAGCTTTCGCGGCATGCTCCCTCTTGCATTTCGTCGGTGACTGGGAGTCTTCTTCACCAACTCCTCACTCACTCAACCCTTCTTCCCTACCCTTTTTTTTCGTATTTGTTCCTGAGGAATCCAGTCGTTGCTCTGGTTGTCTTTTGAATGCCATACACTTTTGTTTATTGTATGTCCTTATCTGTCTTGCTGATCTCCGGCCCCCTGAAAGTTCGGAAATGTGTGAAATAGTGAAAGGGATATCTGTGGATCTCTCTCTTTATATCGGCAATTTTGAGGAAGACTTGTTTCCCCAGGACTTGATCTATGGTATTCCACTTCCAGATCCCGCCTCGAGTTTCGCGCCTGGGCAGGTGTAAGATTGTCGCCTAGAACTTGGTCTATTCCCAAGTCCAATTTTAGCAGAGGGCTAACGGCAGCGATTCCGGACAACGGTGTTTCTCTTCAAGTGGCCGGCGCCAGCCCATGAAAGCCGTCCCATTATTTAATTTATGATGCAGGTTGTCAACAGCCCATATTATTATTTTTACATGCTGCCAAACCTCTTGTAGCACAACCACCTTTCTGGTCCCTCATCCCAGTCCCGCCTGATCTACAAATGTCTATTTCGACTGACCACTATAATAATACTACTATGCACTACCGTTTTTGTCTTTCTTTCGTCAAGAAGTTCGAGAAGTCTCGTTTCGCGAATCCCAGAACTCAGCCCTAAAATATTCAAAAATGACCACCTGCTCTGACATAACTATCCAACAATAACTCATTTACCCTTTGACCCGTCAAACTCGCTCTTCATCCGAGGCGGGGTGCTTTGATAATTTTTTGTTACTTACTCTCCAGAGCCGTAGCATTGCCCTCGCATCTTCCACTACCCCGTTCCCTACTTAACTGGTATTCCACGTTGCGGACACCCGAAAGACACAAAAGCTTCGCGCGATTTACGACTCAAGCACGCTGATATCTTATCTCACGTAAAGGCAAACGAAAAAGAAAAAAAAAAGCCCAATCCAAAGGTCCAGGACGCTCTTTCGGGACTACAGCGTTTGCCGCTGATTTGCAATACGATTTACTTGCGCATCATCCGGCAGCCTGCTAGGGCTTGAGAGCTCTAGCAGTGCCGGTGCACAACCGTGACGCTGGCAGATCCGTATCGGGATTATCAGATTGATTACTCGACCCAAGAGCAGTCAAAAGCTCAGGAGCAACAAAGTCAGCTAGTTTACCACACAAACCAACATTCTCCACAGTCTCTTCATCATGGCGCAAGGCCTGATGTTGGCTTCCTCTCAGGTGGACAGCATCATCAATCCTTTCAACCGCAACAGCAACAGTCGAGCCATCACCACCAGCAGCAGCAGACGCCCCAGCAGCAGCAGCAGCAGCATGGGCAACCAGGTGCTGTTGCGTTGTCCTCTGCGGGATCCCATAACGCGGTGCGCGACATCCAACCACCCGTTCTACTCCCCGCGCAGATGGTAGCACCCCAGCTTCCACCTCACTTTAATGCCGGGGCACTTCAGTTACCATCATATGCGAGTAAGCGACACGGAACGAAAAGAGCGCGCATCGACGACGGTCCTGGCGAATCCGGTGACGATCACACTACAGGGATTAGCCTTTCAATGCTCTCGGACGCATCCCACGGGGATGAACCGCAATCCACTGACATGCTCTTGTCTACCCAATCGGACCCCTCTTCGCATCACCAGCCTCCCAGCCAACACGATTACCAGCCAGCTTCTTCACTACATCATCAACAACACCATCACCACCATCGATTACCTTCGCAAGCCACACTTGCAGGGGCGCAGCGCTCCGATGCAGACTTGACATCACCGGGGGGTGTCTCTGGGCCTCCAAGTGTGGTTGGGCAACCTGGAATGCCTGATCCCGCGCCGCGACCGCGAGGGCCTAAGCTGAAATTTACCCCGGAGGAAGATGCGTTGCTCGTGGAGCTGAAGGAAAATAAAAACCTCACATGGAAGCAAATTGCCGACTTCTTTCCTGGTCGGACCAGCGGGACACTGCAAGTTCGCTATTGTACCAAATTAAAGGCCAAGGCGACAGTCTGGACGGATGAGACGGTATGACTACCTTTTTTTTTGCGCTCAGAAACTACCAATGATTCTTCAAAAAACTGGGGTATAGATTAGACTAACACTTTTCGTAGGTGCAACGGCTGCGTAACGCGATCCATGAGTACGAAAATGACCGCTGGCGTGTGATAGCGAACAAGGTTGGAAATGGGTTCTCTCCTGCAGCATGTCGAGACAAAGCCACAGAATTTTAGACAGGCGGTCATAGAAATATCCCGTGTTTGGGCCCACTTGGAGAAGTTTTAGGATACGGGCACGGCTTCCTTCCCGTGAACATGTGTGACTTCGAAGGTGTACGCCTTCTTTGCCGGAGGAAATTATGTTGATTTCCTTCTTGCTTTCCTCAGCCTTAATTATTGCGGTGGCTGCAAAAGATATTCTATGGGACCTTCCAAATGACTTCGATATCCATTGTCAGTCTTCCATCTGTTTCGCTCCCGCAAAACCTGAACAGAAAGCGGGGGGGGGGGGGAAATATTGAAGAACGGTCTCTGGCTTGGTGAGATATAACATGAGGGTGACGAGAACCCCGACTCTTGTGGCCTTGGAAGAAAGAAAATAACAAAATATAACAAAAGCCGAGAAGAGACAGGAGTTAAACGGTGACATGTCTGCGGGTGGCTAGAAATCCGAAACAGTATTATAGCAAGGGCTATAAAAGTCACACGGATCACAAGTTATGGTCCTGGCCATCGCAAATTTTCCGTCTGTCTGCGCGAACAAACTGAATACATCTTGCTCAGCCCCGCAAAGTCTGCGACTATCCTCCGGCTGCTCTACTTGTCTTCCTACTTTTTCAATACATGATACTTGTTGGGTGAATGGGATTGGTTAGCATTTGGCATTGCGCGACAATGATACCCTTTTTTATTACTTTTGCTATCATATATTGTGTGGAGGGGTGGGAGTCTTTTTGTTTCACTAAACACACTCGTTGCTATCTTTTACAGCTTCTTTTGTCCGTCTCCTTTCACTTTCCATTCTGTGTTATTGGATTGGGGTTATTGCTGGGTCCCATTAAAAAAGTTAGGAGGGCAATCCGGATTGGGGGTGCTTCGATTCTATGATTCTTGACGATTTTATGTTGCTATTTCTCAAGCAGTGCCTCTTTTTTTTTTTTTTTGGTTCTGGTTTGTCATTATTTTTCTCTGCGACGCCTGAATGTTCACCAATAATTCTGGGGCGTACGTTTCTTCTCCTCACCTTTCTTTTGTTCTTCATACATAAAATATAGAGATGGGGCGGTTTCTAAAGGAAATCCAAAGTGCGATGCTTGCATCCGCCTCTTACCTGCGACCCTTCCCCTTCGTGTGGCATGACTTTTTTTTTCCCCCGTTGTTTGCTTCGGACTAAGTACGGACGGGGCTACGAAGAATAAAAAGGTAAAGGAACGGTAGATGTGAATTATCACCAAATGATCCTTCTCTCCATTTGTCCAACCCATAGTCCTGGCTTTGTGTGGTGTTCAGCCCCCTGTCGATTTTTGTAGCCCCCTTTCCTCCCGGTCCTCTTCTGTACTCCATGGGTCTCACCGTTTCTTTATGCATATCGAAACGGCGGATTTGGCCGTTTGCTGTGACATAGGTATGTGAGCTGTGAGCCACGTTAGCAATTCCTGCGGAAAGGTTACACGCATGAAGGCTACCAAGAAAAGGAATCAGTGGGTGGACGCCCTGGAAGATACGGAGAAGTTCTCTTGTCCTTGTTCCATTATGTAGCAAATGCCGGAAGGCAACCAGACCGACTCGTAGTTCCTGGGAAGAGTTGCGGGTACAATGTATGTATATATTGCGCGTTGATATTGAAGAGAATCCATTGGTGAGTTGGTCCACTACAAAACGGTCACTTAGGGCTGACCCTAACAGAACTCTGATTGGCAAGTCGCTTTCGGCCAATCACGAAAGATATATCAGGTGACCTTTAAACTGCTTGCTGACTAACAAAACCCGGATCCAGTTGGTGGTGGTTCGACTCTCAACCACAATATCAACCTCAGATACAAATAATACAACAAGAACCCCAGTCCGTAACTTACAACCACTTCTCTTTAGCAAGCCATTGGTAGTTGGAACCATGTTCGTTCAACGAACTGCCTTCATCCTCGCCAGGCGCACCCCCGTCAAGGCCCTTGCCAGACGTACCTTTTCCGCATCTGTTGCCCAACGTACGTGCCCGCCCAATTCACAGTCTCTCATTTCTGCGTCGCCCCATTGTACCCCAACGATCAATTGATTCATAGGCGTCCTTTGATGACGGTTTCATCACGGTGAATTTTCAAATTGTTTGCTAATCCGAAGATTTATGATCTTCTAGGTAATGCCGCAAAGCCATCCAAATGGGATCCCAAGCCCGGAGAGCCAGCAGGCAAACTAGTGTCCTTCGAAGGTCAGCCTATAGACCTCCATCTTCCATTTTTTATTCCACTTCTTCTTGTCGCAACCGAAGAAAAAGCGGAATACCTCTTTTTGAGGGCGTTGTCAATTTCCTATGAAAACGATGGAGCTGCCGCACCACGTCTCTGGTGTTGAAATTGCATTGCATCCGTCACTCGAAACAAGTTTTCTGACTCCTTGACTGTAGATATCGAAACCGAAGCCGACCTTCTTCCCCCCGGAGCGAAAGCCGGAAGCATCCCCACTGATTACGAACAAGCAACTGGTTTGGAAAGATTGGAACTTCTAGGGAAAATGCACGGAGTTGACGTTTTCGATATGCGACCACTGGATTCGTCAAGATTGGGTGCGCAGATTCCATATCCCATTGTATATCCCGCTCCAAAAACGTACCATATTGGCTAGTGGGGTTGGTATTGTAAGGGGGTTAGAAGGATACTCGTTGGCCTATGCAAAGCGCTAAAATGACGTTCGAATTTGATAGGGACTCTCGATAACCCGATTATTGTCAAGTCCGGCGGAGATGAGCAATATGCGGGCTGTACCGGCTTCCCTGCGGACTCCCATACTGTTATTTGGCTGACGGTAAGGATACCCCGTCAATTGGAGATATGATGCACCACTACATTGGCCTTGCGCATGTTTTGCATCTTGACAATTGAATATCTTTTCTTATGCATTATAGGTATCCCGCAAGCGTCCAATTGAGCGTTGTTCCGAGTGCGGCAACGTTGTCAAGATGGAGTACATTGGGCCTGAGTCGGATCCCCATGCCCACCATGGTACGTAATCCCTGAACGACAAGGATATTTTTGACTATATAGGACAATTGTCCTGCTTGGTTCATTCCTAATGTGAAATATTTGTTCATATTTGACGATGTTATCCCGCTCGTTCTTCGAGACCCGTCAGACAAGAAGGCACTGACATACTATTTTTTTTTTTTTTTTTTTTTTTTAGATGAACACCACCATGCCTACGAGGAACCCAAGACCATGGCCGACTTTGTAAGGCCTGAATACTGGTATAAATAAAATATGCCAATCATTAATGCGCTGCAAGAAAGAGAAGGGCTCCGTGAGGTGGCTGACCTGGACTCGGAAATTTGGAGCCGTAGGGGTTCAAATACATAACGTGTTCTTGATACGGTTTTTAAAGCACCCTGTATCTCTCTAATATCAACACTCATATACCATCTCCTTATGTTCTCCTTACCTCTCTGCCATACCCTACTGTGGCCATACGGTTCATTTCATTTCCTGACTCTACTCAACCATGCCAGCCAAAATTTCCCTTTCTTTTCTTTTTCCATTGTAGAATATTGCAGTTTAAATGACATCTATACTATATATGTATATATATAAATTTGACATGTTCGATGGTATTCAGGCTTTCAAGCTCTGTTTTCTTTTACGATGGTGTTTTAACATTGGTGTCGCTGAAGCAGAGGGGAAACGAAGTGAGACGGAGCCGTTCCAGGTAGGTAGGGGCGCAGTATGGCAACGGGGGGAGGCCGGCAGAATATGTCCAATGTGCTCAAGCCAGTGTCCCCTGAATATGTTTCTATAATTGATTGACTCCTACCATTTCCAAAGAGGCTACTGTATTTAAAGATGGATGCGATGATGAATAAACGTTGATGCTCAGGTCAGATTGGGGGTTAAGATCCATATCTATCATATCATCTAACATACATCTCAGTGCCGTGTTCCATCTAATCAACCTTTCTCAAGGACGACGGGTAAAAGATATCTGCATGGTGACACGCACACATGGACATATAGGGATCTATATCTACCTCTCTCTCCCCACCTCGTTATCCTCATGATCGTCAATAATGATAAGACCATGCCATATTTCATGTCTCTGATCGAGAGAGTCTATCTCACCCAACCCCCGCCCCCTCGTTTCTCTCCCCGCATCAATTGAGTCTCCTCTAATGCCTTTGGGAGAAGAGCACACGATTAACTCCCCTATTACCCGATTCACGTGCCACAAGAACCATCCCATACTACCTACAGAGGTACCATCACAGAAGGCATATTCTCGCTGACTATTTTGCACTGAGTCTTCCCAATTGACTTCTTTTCTCCCCACCAATCCTTTCATTCGGCGGGAGGGACCGTTATTAGTTACCCGTTCATGCGCAACGTGTGATAAACCGTTACTCCGCTTACTGTTCACTCCCCCACCACCCCATTCAATACGACTTCTCTATGTCTCTTCGATCTTGCATCACGCCATATTCTCATTAAAAAGCCCTGCCCAAGGTCGGAGCTGGTTGTGGAGTCCACTCTTTTCGTCGTTTATATTGTCCCCCTCCCTTCACGGGCGGACTCCTTTTTGGGTATTGTACATACCTTCCCGTTCTCTCAGTGAAAGGTGTGTTTTTCTTCCATCCGCAGATGCAGCATTAATATGAAGAAGGAAGATGGGTGGGACAGCACTTTCACGAAAGTTGGAGAGAATATGCACAACATTGAACACAAGTATATTACCATGTGCACATGTTATATTATATACAAATCAAATAGCTTGAGAACAATCCAGCGGTCAAGAAGTGACGACATCTTATCTGAGCAAGTTCTGACTCCTGCTGCCGAAACAGGCACTGGAAGTCAGTCGCTCACATATGTATTTGGTGTGGGTGTTGACCTTAATAACAAACAACCTTTGCCCGGTACTCGTGCCCTTCCTACTAAGACGTGAATAGGAGGCTTTGAAACTGGCACTACAAATCTCTGGTACAAATGACAGGAAAAAGAAGTACAGTCGGCATATCCACAAACACAAACATATACAATGCACACCTACAACTCTAAATTCCCATCCATCCATGTAGCAGCGCGTGCCCGGAAAATGATAAAAGCAGGGACCTCAACAGCAAGAAAAATGTCCTGAAATGTCCATAAGTGGACCATTTTAGTCGTGTGCCAATGTGGGATGTGGTACTGTGTAATATGCTCAGGTAGACCAGAGCCTTTTACTTTTCTTTCAATGGTTAGGTGTGAGATGGTACGTATGATGCCGTAGGACACATTGAGATCGAACATGATGAATCACCGTTCCTATTTCCCTAGATATTTCGCGGCGGCTGGAGAAGTCTGTCACGCTTCGGTCGATTGAGAGGTCGAAATGTAGTATCTTTCTTGTGTGCAATGTGCAATTCATCTTACTTTACTGTTGGATCATCAAGAGAAGAAGGTGTGGGTATCAAAGCTGCGGGGAATACATAACTATATCTTATCATTTTGCTGGAGACAGTTATAAACCTCAGTTCCATACCGACAGCTTTGAATAGCCCTCCGGATGGTGCCGAAGAAGCCTGACCCAGCTCGGAAATTGGGGAGTTAGACGATCTGCGTACATAAGACATATTGATATTGATATGCGCAATTGCTACAGAATATGGCAGGCTGAATGTGACAGCGCCGTTCAAACGTTACAATTCGGTCGTTCGAGCAACCGCCCGAACAAAAGAGGGAGATGATGACGTCTCCAAGAGAGCTGCGCAAACCGCCTGAAACAGAACCATTCCAAGTCATACACGACAGCGGCTGGAATGTATCCCGGCAAATATGAGATGGGAGTTTCGAACGATCTTGCATTCCTCATGTGGCTGGTATAGACTGGAAGTAACGAAAAGACGATTTTGAAATGCGCTGTAAACTTTGCAGATGACGTTTGTCCTGTGCAATATAATAATATATTATTAGTGCTCATAGGTTCCAAGCATCGGGTATGCCTAGGTGGCTAGTGATTAAACCAGAGTTCAATTTCGTTAATTGGAACTGAGATTGACGGGCCATGTCTTAATAGAACAAATCAAATGAGAATTAAACGGTAACGGGAATGTGCATTCTTCCGAGTATGTCGGAAAAAGGACACGACACGGTCCAGAGATAGAAAATCAGTGACATCCAGGTGGCATATAAAGCGGTGTTTCACCCCCCCCCCCCCCCCCCGGACAGCCATGTTCAAACCTTCTATGGTCTATAGGGCTGAAACAGCGCATCCCAGTGATCCCCAGCTCTCTTATATCTTGATTCCCAAGCAGCTACTGTCCTCCATTTGCACACAGAGATGGGGCACGTGTGTGCGGAACAGGAGGGGAGATCCGGAATATTCTACTTGGGTCAAGATTAGCCCCTGTTGAACAAATCAGCAATATCGGGACCGCATCTAGGAGTCTGGATGCATCAAAAACGAGGGAGACTGCGCAGCATTCTAAGCGAGGGAGGGCATCATGGCAACCCCGCCAGAATTTGAGGAGGAATTCACTGGATTGGCCAAGCTAACGGGCTCGGTTGCGCATGCCAACACACGGGGGGAAGAGTTCTGTACAAATAAGCCTATCGGATCAAACCTGGTAACTCGGAGACACCGGATTGTGCGAGGAGAACAGCGGGACATATTCTGGAGACGATGGACGATGGACGATGGACGATGGACGATGGAACGAATGGACAATCTCTCAGCTGACAATCCGCTGCAACATTGTGAGTTGTTTGGTCGCGCCGTGAATAAATTCCCCGTACAACTGGGATATTGTATTGAAAAATGCTCCTATACCCACAATTTCGAGTATATGGTGCAGCATTATGCCTGCACAGAGAGAGAGAGAGAGAGAGAGAGAGAGAGAGAGAGAGAGAGAGAAAACAACAAGAAAAGGTAAATGCATTGGTTTCCATCCAGAACTAAGTAACTCCAGAAGTAAAACTATATTTCCTGTACCGTAGAGCAGAGTAGAGCGGAAGTGGATATATCTGCGCGCACACGCAACCCGGTGGTGCATGTTGTGAACATGAACATGTCGCCTTGAACGGAAAACGCAGCAAAGGGAATTTTCGTCCTCCCACACGCGGAACACAGCAACATAACGTAACTACATGAGACTGGGCTGATATATCCAATCAAGGGCCGTGTTGTCTCCAACACAACGATCCACCGCCTTGCATACCCGGTGAAAAATTCCCGCAGAAGCAACTTTATCAGCGCAAAGCAAAGAGGAAGCGGAAGCGGGGAAAAAAAAGAAAAGGAAAGGAAAGGAAAGAAAAAAAGAAGTGACGGGCGAACTGCGCCGTTAGTTACCGCTGGAGGGATCTCTTCAATCGCATCGTGAACTCTGTACAGGCTGCAATGCAATGCAATTCTTGGCGTGGTAAATAGTTAAAAAACTATTCAACTACGCCGGTTGAAGATCTAAACCGGGATATTAAGAAATTCTCTCTGGCCTGGCAAGGTATGATGATGATTGTTGTAATCTTTCTATATTTGCTGTCGGGTCTGATGGATACGCCTTGCAGCATCTTGTTTGATATATTAAAGGGCATGTCAGATGATGGTGGGATATTGAGGATGCCGCTGAGCGTTCGATCATGATATCCCCTTCGCACAATCATTTTGAACCGATATAGCTCAAGTGAAGTCATTACAAGACTAAAATAGATGAGACTGCAGCAAGATCAAGAAGCATACACCAAGCATATTGTGGGCGGAAGCGAACTTTTCGACAGACTCGAAATTAAGACCACGCGGAAAAGTCAAAATCGGACTTGTTCATTCAAGCTGTTTTCGCCCCTCCGCTGAAAGTCTGAGGAAGCTGAGAGCGTATCCCAATCTTCAGCGGGGGCGAAGGGAAGAAAGAGGAGAAGTGATACAACCCCCCCAGGTTCATCAGGAGAAACTTGGAATAGTGTCCAGAGTGTTTGGAGTTCGAAGAATGGGGACAACGTCGTTAAGTTAGCTTCGCAGAATAGCAGAGGTAACGTAACTGGAAGAGCTGAAGAAGAATGAGAGCACATGCATTCTGCATTCTGCGCAAAGCTGGTCTTCTTCGCATCAATCTTAACTATATGCCAGAAATCGTGCACGTCAGACTACGTGTGTGGCATGGTCATACGCGCCTTGCTGAAGGGCCTCCTCTGTAACTATATTTTCCACTTCACTTTTCATATCAAGGGCAATTTTCTTTCTCCTATTCATATGCTTTATCTCTCCCCTCCTCACATGACACTATGACTCGGTTGAATCAGTTGACAAGTGTGGGAGTCACAAGTCAACGAAGCAATTATTAAAAAGGAAATGAACAGAGAATCAGTCAACCAATGAAAGGCCCTCTCCAACGTCTAACTAGTCTATCTCACAACAACCCTGGATTTTAACGAAATCCTGCTGGGTTCTGAAGTTCCTGTTACTTCGCTTTTGCGCGCGCTGCTTGAACCAAACAGTCCCTCTCTAATAAGCTTCCTTCGTCCACGAACCTCTTGGTCATAGCTCAGAACCCTCCTCCCCCTCCCTCTTCCTCCCCTTCTCCCGCAGCCGCCTCTGCGGGGCCCAAGGATCCATCCCTTAAAGCAAATACATACTCATACGTCAAGAGTTTCTTTTTAATATCCTCTGCTTGGCCAATCAATACCTCCAGCATTTCTCCGTGAACTCTCCTCGCGTACGCCCCAAAAATGTCCTGCCACATAAACGATGCCATATTCTCCAAAATAAATCATCGTACCAACCTACCTAGGGACAACTACTCACCACTCACCGTTCGTCTTCGCCCGTTTATCAATCGAGCAATATGGGATGATATACATACCCAGGTGTGTTAGATGTATGTATGTGTATGTATGTACGTATTGTACGTACGTATGTATGTAACGTATGTACGTACGTACGTATATGTATTACATTTCCGGCAACTATGAGCCTCCCATGCTTACGTATATCACCCCAACAACTCATTCGTTTTCCTGATAACAGCGATTTAAGAGAGAGAGTGAGAGAGCTGCAAAGAAGGACATCCAAAAAATTTTATTTCTTCCATTTGTATCACCCCACCCGAATATACTCTCCAAATCCTTAAAAGTCATAAATATTGCCGCATAAACTTTCCGAACATCTGAACCATCCATTTGGATTCCCACTCGACAGCTCCCAGAGAACTGATGTCATTGGCTTTCTGGGGTACAGTTTCGTAGAGTATCTCGTGATACCGGCTGGGGTCCTGAAGTATACGGGAGTGAAGAAGGTTGGTTTTCATGGAGACTCGTTGCAGGGATCCGGAGCGCACTGAGGAAATCCTTCCCGACATTCATTGCCGTAGTTAACTAACTAGCTACAAGTTGCTGATATAATTTGTTCCATAGTTGCTTATTCCTTTCTTGTGGTTGCTTTTATGTTTATTTTTATGTTTATTTTTATTTATTTATATATATATTGGTGCTTTGCCTTGATTTTCTTTGGATAACCACCCGAATTTGTAGACCTGAAGAAGTAAGCCACTAAGAAGAGGAGATGGGTTTGAGTAACAAGGCAAAATGGAGGAAGGGGGCCAAAAGAGATAGAGAGAGAGAGAGAAAGAGTAGGGACGAAGACAAACACTAGACGAGAAGATTATTAGGAGTCCAAAGAAGGTAAGTTAGATAAATTGGTTTACCCTTATCATTTCGTAACATTTCGTCCAATGAACCGTTTCCCGAATAATCCTACTCCCGCGCAACGAAGGAAATTTTTCCACAGGCAAAAGTATTAGATATAAAGAGATTAACTAACGAAACGACAAAGGAAAGAAGGAAGAGAACACAGGATACCGGGGTATAGCTCTCTGAAAACTGCCTGGCCTTGCCCCCACCTTGCTAACTGCTAGAATAAGTAGGTGTGAACGCCCAGCCTAACTCCTGAAACCTGCGATCCCGTTTACTCGTCATAACTGTGTGCCGCAATTCATAAATAACGTTCTCAAACAAAAAAAAAATAAAAATAAAAAATAAAGACATTGAAACGGATATAAAACAGCACAAGGAATAGGTGCAAGTATCTGGAAGAAGGAAGAACGAGGGGGAAAAAAGTCCGATAAATATTCAGGTGTACGTCGTAAATGTCATGTCACGGTATTGTAACTTAGAGGTTTTTAAAATGCTCCTTCGCATATTGCTCGCAGGCCTGATTTCATTCGAATCGTCAGAATAGTTACAACATAGGACAAAGGATGAAACAGGATTGAAGTAAATATCACCTTTGCTGGCTTGCCGATTTTTTGCCCAATGACTTTCCATTTATTCGATTCGTACTCTTTGATGGCATCGCGTAGTGTTATGGACTGATGAGGTTTTAGTTTATCTCCGGAAACAGTGATGACTACCCGTTGGAATGATAACATACCTCCTCTTCGGTAAACTCAGCGTAATGCATGTCCTGTATTTTGGTTAGACTGATAGGATAGATTCGCACGCCCTGCAGAGGATCAAATGGAAAACCAACCTTGTACCAATGTTTCTTCACACTCCCTTCGGTCCGCATGGGGAAAGTCTAATGGATCATATGTTAGATATTGTTTATTATATGTATATATATATCTATGTAAGATATATACACACGGATGATTTTTACAGAGTTGGCATCAGAAATAGGTTGGACAAACCTTGGCAATTTCGCTCCAGGTGCTACCGGCATCGCGCATAGTCTTGAGCCGTTGTTCCTCTTCCGCCGTCCATGGCGTGTTTGTTCGACCTTTCTTCTTGCCTGCGGTTTCGGGCGCCGCAGTCGCGCCGGTGGTACTAGCAGTAGTGGTTTGTCCCTCGCCTTCAACAGCACCTGTTAGCGGGGGAGGGGCCATGGAGGCCAAAGGAGGAGTCTGAAATGACGCACGTCGCTTCCGGGGATTTGAAGCTGCTGGCGCTGGAGCTGGCACGGACGCTGGCGCCGGAGTGGGCACCATAGGGACACTCTCGAATGGGCCAGGCCCGGTAAAGGGGGGGGGCTGTTGCTGTTGGTTTAGAGGATGCGTTGGTGTGTTGGCGGCAACAGCTGTCTTGATACGCTTGGAAGTTGGAGGGGATCTATGCGGTTGAGGAGAACATGGGTTAGTAAACCGTCCATTCTTGAATCACAAAAGTAGGTTGGTCGGTCGGTGAGCTTCGCATATATGATGATGATGAAGTGAAGGAAGAGAATGAAGCGTCCCAAGCTGACACTGAGGAGCAAGAAGGAAGACGGAAGAAAAGCGGGTTTGGGGGGCAGTATGCATGCCAGACAGAGAGAGGAAGGGGCGAAAGGGTGAAGGAGGGAAGGAGGGAAGGGGGGTAAAGAAGGGAAAAGGGCGCCAGACGGGAGGAAGGAACCCCAAGGGAAATGCATATGTTTCTGCTCCAAAAGGGCAGGCAAAGCCAAACCGATCAACGAACGACCAACGACAGCAACAAAATTATACTCACGACATATTAGGAAGAGGAGGCCTCGACACAAAAACCGGCCAATTCATCTGTAGAGATACGCAGATAAAAATTAGTTAGATTTGGGCCTGTTACAGTTTGGCCAGGTTGCTGATGAACCCGCAAAACCGTTCAAGAAAAACGTTACACACTAGGATCGGAAGCGAGGGACACCAGGGAGCCGGATCTCGACGATCAAGCCGGGCCAGGAACATGGAGAGAAGGGTGGGGGAACATGGAAAAAAGATGATGGTACAAACACTGAAGAGAGGGTTGATGAAAGACGAGCGAGAGAAGCGATTGGTAGGGCGTAAGTAGGTTGGGGTTGAGAGGGTCGAGGGGGGATTAAATGTATCGTGGTATTGTAGTGAAGGGCGTTTAACGACTGGGAGCTGGGAAGTGAGGGCAGGATCACTCAGCTGTCACTGGATGTATTAAGACACGGATGTGAGGAGCAAGAAGACCCAGAGCAGGTATCAATAATGATTAATAAGAGAGACAACTATTATAAGAGGTAGATAACTACGTATGTAGTAGTTAGGTGAGGCTGGGTGGGAGGTTGTATACAAGTACAGGAACGCGTTAGCGGCAAGGTATCTACAAGTAGAGAGGACAAATAATCAAGGTAAAAGGGGATTAAGAGACGATGCAGTACAGGGGAAAATAGAGAGGGGGGAGGAAAGGAGGGGAGGCTGTGAGAGGAGGAGAAGTGGCAAGTGTTGTAGAGTAGTAGATTTGTTTAGTCTCTGTCGATGATGTTCAGTTGGTTCAAGCGACAGCCTCAATAATACGAAGTCGATGTGACGGACGGAGTGACAGAGTGACGGAGTTGACTGAGCTAGTGACGGGACCCGCTGAAAGTCCGAACATTGTGGCGAGCATGCGGGGAACTGGCAAGAAACAGGCAAAACAGGGTAAGGTAAGGTATGGTAATACTAGCTGCGGGAAGCGGGAAAAAAAAAAAAAAAAAGAGAAGCAGAAGAATGACGCCTTGAAAAGCTGAATAGCGTACCCAGACCTTGCTGTTTTAGAACTATCGTCACTGCAGTTACAAGTACGAATACAGTACCATACGTATCGGACTTCCATCAACACCACATTCACAATCAACAAATTAGAGATGATCCCCCTTCATCATCACGCATAAACCCTTTTCCAGCCATCTCTGCGTTGCTGGAGACATAACTTGGAAATTACCTTGTTATCTGACCTCGGATCGAGCTGGACATGCCCCGTATACACGAAGAACCAGAGTTTTCAAAACTCATCCATCTCTCGCACGTGCTGCCGCCGTGATAAGACCTTTTTAAACCAACATGTGTCAGGCCTGTATTCAAGAATCAGGAGGAGAATTGAGAAAAAGAAACAGAAAGCCAGCGACAGTCAGATCCCCCGGGCTATGATGATTTTTTGATTCCCAGGGTCAAACCCTTGTCTCTGTAGTACTCGATGCCCCGCGGGTGTCGAATTTATCTGTTTATTGGTGCTGGTTTACGTGATTTTACGTGATTGGGAAATTGGACAAATGCCCGTACAAGACTGATGGGAATTTGATCAATCTAATTCCCAAAATTGGTCAAAGTTTCGAGGTATAACCGAGTATCCCGGTTCTCGAGTTTAGATTGGCTGAGAGGGTTAGGAGAATGCTCTGTTTTTTATACCGTACATACAGATACATACAACGAATCCGAGCCAGGGAATTACTCGTTCCGTTGACTTTTTAAGTTTTTCTCCCCGTGGGAGTATATATTTTCCGGAGGAACCCAAGTCATAATTAACTCTGGGGAAAGCTTCCAATCTTGGTAAGCGATGCGAGATTCCCGGGCAATCCAAGTACCACGGGTGGATTGGAGCCGTGGAAATAAGTTTGGAGGAAGACTCACCGGGGAAAACATATCATACCCAGCAGTGTTAGCTCGTAATTTCGAGAAGAGAAACATCGTTCGAGTTCACATGGGTATTGTACATATAAAACCAAATATATCGAATTCACTTACCATGTTGTGTTACTATGGAGTTTTTATTTAAGTCCGTTCACATGTAGCATCGGTATACAGATAACTTTAATCCTGCTCTAAAAATAAGCATAAATTATTCAAGGCTGAGGTACCTCCAGTAAATGGGCCTGGTACTTACCCACATGACCGGCTGCACTGTTGAGAGAAATGTACCATCACATCCTCTCAAAGTACCCCTTCCCCTTTCAGATGAAGGTATTTCATTACTCACAGACATCGCCCCACAACTGAAATCATCCACAGCACACGATTCGCGTAAACCGTAGCGTAGGCGGGTCGATCCTGAAAAGCTTCTTCGATCCATTTTAAGTTTATACCTTGGGCACATGGGGAGAGGCATGGCAGATGCCAAATATGACAACACCCAAAAAAAAGAAAAAAAAAAAGGGAACCAATTAAGCGAACTGACAAAAAAGGAGGCGGATCATTTTCCATTCCCGTTCAAGTTAACTATGTTCCTTGAAGTTATTTTTTTGCTGGTTCCAATCTCCCAGTGACGAACCGAAGAAGAGAGCGAGTGGTACCGCAACGCAAGGTACAGAGTACAACGATAAAGTACCCCCATGGACCGTAGCTTAAACTGACTTTAATAAACGATGGGATGGGATAGAATGCAGGTGAAGAGCCCCGCGGAAACTAACTAACAAATAAAGCTTTT